TTTTTTAAGAATATTTTCTTAAAGGCTGTTCCAATAAATAATTTACTGGGCAATGAAAAATGGAGAAGGTGACTCTGATGACACTTTGGAGCAGGTAAAGCGTGAAGTTTAAGGAACCTAGGCAGCCCATGGCTATTTAAAAGCTTTCTGGAAGGGGTAATTCTTCCACATTTCTTTAAAAGGTTACAGCCCAGCAGTTGGCTTCTTGAATGGTACTCTTCTCCCAACTCCCTCCTGGATGCCACTCTGAAATCATTATCATCACGATTTCATTCTGCTTGGTGCATAGCACATAGCTCTTCTGAGCATTCTTTTTTATTTTATCTTTAAAATTGATATAGTCACATTGTTAGGATTTTGGGTGAGAAGTAAAAACAAATTTTTTTGAGACAGGGTCTCTCTCTGTTGCCCAGGCTGGAGTGCAGTGGTGTGCTCTCGGCTCACTGCAGCCCCAACATCATGGGCTCAAGCGATCCTCCCACCTCAGCCTCCTGAGTAGCTGGGATTCCAGGCACATGCCACCACACCCAGCTGATGTTTTTATTTTTATTTTGTAGAGACCGGGTCTTACTTTGTTGCTCAGGCTGGTTTCAGACTCCTGGCCTCAAGTGATCCTCCTATCTTGGTCTCCCACAGTGCTGGGATTATAGGTACGAGGCATCATACCTGGCCCTTGGGTGATAATTTGAAGGTATTTGAGATTATTATGACCAGGAATTAATGCATAAATCAGTAGATTAATTGGTTCATTTATTAAATCAACAACTATTTAGTGAGTACCAATTAAGCGCCAGGTACTGTGTTAGGTTCTGAGGTTACTGTGGTAAATGATGCAATGTTTGGCCTTCTGGAGCTTAGAATCTGGAAGGGAAAGCAGTCCCCAAATGAGTAAAAAGCAAACAAATATAAAAACAAAAACAATAAGTGTTCTGAAGATAATAATAATCAGGAATGCTGATACAGAATCTTGAAGGGAAGGAATTGTCTTAAATCTTGTGGTCAGGAAAGATTCCTCTGATGTGTGCGATTAGGCTGAGACCTGAAGAGTGAGCGCCCCAAGTCTCATCCCTGGGGGTTCCCAAAGAATTATTAATGGACCCTCTCATCAAGATAAAATGAAAATATCTTAATCTGGCATTCAAGTGTCTCCAAGATTAGGGTTGCCAGATAAAATAAATAATGCCCATTTAATTCTGAATTTCAGATAGGCAACAAAAAATTTTTAGTATGGTATTACATATTGCATGAGACAAATTTATAAAAAATTCATTGTTTGTCTGAAATTCAGATTTAACTGGGTGTCCTGTATTTTTATTTGCTAAATCTCTTAACCCTCTTCATGAGCTTCTCCAGCCAGCCTCTTTTGCCTACTGTCCATCATTTCTTCCACACATTTGAAGCTCTCTCCACAAGGAAGGGTCCAATTGCCTCGTCTTTGCTCATGCGGTTCCCTCTGCCTGGGTCCCCATTCTCCTGCCGTATATTCTTGGTAAACCCTTCTTCCCCTTTAAACCCCTGTCCAGATATTCTTTCTCAGGGAAACCTCTAGCAGAGCACATTACCCCCAGTTCAGGGTGCTCACCAAACCTGGTTCTTACAGGATTTTTGCCTTATAATTCTATGTTTTAGAACTGGTCTCTACAAAAACAGACAAGACTGAATGCCTAAAAAGGAAAGGTTATAAGGAATTATCTCATTCTTCCTGCCCTCTCCTTTGCCCCCCTCCCACTCAACCCCCCCCCTTTTTTTTTTGGAGACAGGGTCTTACTTTGTCACCCAGGCTGGAGTGCAGTGGTGCAATCTTGGCTCACTGCAACCTCTGCCTCCTGGGCTCAAGTGATTCTCTAGTCTCGGCCTCCTGAGTAGCTGAGACTACAGGCACACACCACCACATTCAGCTAATTTTTTTTCCCTATTTTTTTGTAGAGACAGGGTCTCACTATGTTGTCCAGGTTAGTCTTGAACTCCTGGGCTCAAGGGATCCACCCGCCTTGGTCTCCCAAAACTCTGGGATTACAGACGTGAGCCACCGTGTCCAGCTGTCAGTTTGCTCTTTATAATATTAATCTAAGACATTCAGCACTTTTCTGTGCCAGGTGCTGTGCCAAGTGCTTTGCATACAGCATTTCATGTCAACCCTCCATAACCTTATGAGGTAGATTTGGTTGAATCTCCACTTTGCAGGTGAAAATCAGGTATGTAGAGGTGAAGTTCCTTGCCACTGTTTCCACATCTGTAAAATAAGACTGATATCAACATTTTCTCTATGAGGTTTTCTCCCAAACTAGAATGTAGGTTTCCAGAAGGCAGGAGCTTTGTTTTATAAACTTCTGTATCCTCACAGCCCAGAATTGTGCCTAGCATTGAGTAGGCTCCCAGTAAATACTTGTTGAATGAATGAATGAATGAATGAATGAGTCATGTTACAGATAAGGAAAGTATAATTTAGAGACAGAGAAAGTACGTTACCCAAGGACCCATAGCTAGATGTGGTGGAATTTCCACTAGAACCAGAATCAGGGTGTGTTGGTAGATGTTTAACAACTGGCTCGGCTGGGTGCAGTGGCTCATGCCTGTAATCCCAGCACTTTGGGAGGCCAAGGCCGGCGGATTGCTTGAGCTCATAGTTTGAGACCACCCTGGGCAGCATGGTGAAACTCCATTTCTACAACAACAGCAATGACAACAACAACAAAATAAGCCAGGCACGGTGGCACACGCCGGTAGTCCCAGCTATTCGGGAGGCTGAGGTGGGCTTGAGTCTGAGATGGGGAGGTTGCAGTGGGCTGAGATCCCGCCACTGCACTCCAGCCTGGGTGATAAAGCCTGAGCTTGTCTCAAAAGTGAACAAAAAAACAAAAAAACCCTACAAGTGGCTCTCTGGAAACACAACATTAACAACCCTGATTTGTAGCATTTGCTGATTTACATTGTATAAATACTCCTAGCATGGCTGATTTCAAGCTATCAACCTGGTGTCAATCAGCTTGCAAGTTTCCTGCAAATTTAACCATGGGCTTTTGTAAACCTGTCTATGCAAGTTGGCATTAACATACCATGAACTAGAACACAGGGGTCTCGGTCCGAAGGGTATACCCTCATCATTACTCTCTCCTGTCTTCCCGAACAAGGCATAGTCTATATTCTTTTTGTTTGTTTGTTTGTTTTTTTGAGACGTAGTCTTGCTCTGTCTCCAGGCTGGAGTCGCACCATCTCGGCTCACTGCAACCTCCACCTCCCTGGTTCAAGCTATTCCCCTGCCTCAGTCTCCCGGAGTAGCTGGAACTACAGGCGCGTGCCACCACACCCTGGCTAATTTTTTGCATTTTAGTAGAGACAGGGCTTCACCATTGTTGGCCAGGATGATCTTGATCTCCTGACCTCGTGATCTGCCCACCTCAGCCTCCCAAAGTGCTGGGATTACAGGCGTGAGCCACCACGCCCGGCCCGGCACAGTCTATACTCTGATAGAATGTAAGTAGGAGGGGGAAGACACCCAAATAAACTCAATTCAATGCAGATTGCATAGGTGATCCTTTAAAAACATAAGCCCAATCACAAAACTACCTTGCTTAAAACTTTCCTTATGCTGTTAGCATAAAATCCAACCTCTCTCCCTCTCTCTCTCTCTTTTTTTTTTTTTTTTGAGACAAGAGTCTTGCTCTGTCACCCAGGCTGGAGTGCAGTGGTGGAATCTCAGCTCACTACAGCCTCTGCCTCCTGGGTTCAAGCGATTCTCCTGCTTCAGCCTCCCAAGTAGAGGCACGTGCCACCATGCCCAGCTAATTTTTGTAATTTTTAGTAGACACGAGGTTTCACCATGGTGGTCAGGCTGGTCTCAAACTCCTGACTTCAAGTGATCTGCCCACCTTGACCTCCTAAAATGCTGGGATTACAGGCATGAGCCACCACGCCCGTCCACGCCTAGTCAAAATCCAATCTCTTTACCATGGCACACAAGGCCCATTATGAAACCTCGCCCTCTACCAGGTACTGTACGAGGCTCGGGGGATACAGGGGTGAACATTACATACACATGTCCTGCTTGCATGGAGCTTGCAGTCCAGTAAATGAGGCTGTCAAGAAACAAATAGTTAACCATTAAGCACAAAATGATAGACTGAGATATATATGTAGTGGAGAAGGTACTTGGAAAAAGAATAACTTGGACTGAGGGTGAGTTGAAGAAGCCATTCTAAGAAAGTGACATTTGAGACCTGAAAGATGAGAGAGTTGGATGGGTGTGGGGCTGATGGCCAGGCAGAAGGGGAGAGGATTCATCATTTTGAGGAATAAGAATAATTTCTGTAAATTGGAGCCAGTGGAGATGGGATGGGGACCACAATTGTAAATATGAAGGGCATATAAATATAATATATAAATATAAGTATAAATATAAAGGGCAGGGGCTTATGGAAGGAGGTTTAATTTCCTTTGAAGATGGAGCCTTAAGTCCCAGGTGCACTCTGATCTTGTTTAACTTTCTCTTCCAGAAACCTTTTTATAACACCTGGGTAGCAATCATCTAGTGACCGTTAGACTTTGCATAGATGAACAGACACAAGCCTAGAGAGACATGTAATCACCAACAGTTTCTCAGCCACTAATAGTTGTATAGCCTTGGGACAAGTCACTTTTTGAGCCAGCACCATCTGATAGAAATTAGTGGGAACCACAAATGAGAGCCATATGTGTAATTAAAAATTTTCTACCAACCACATTTAAGAAGTAAAGAGAAACAGGTAAAATTCATTTTATAATATATGAATTTGACCCAATATATCCAAAATATCATTTCCACCTGTAATCAATATAAGTCTTAGAAATCTGGTGTGTATTTTATTTACACTTATGGCACATCTCACTTCGGAGTAGCCATATCTCAAGCGCTAGGTAGCCACATGTGGCTAATGCGTACAGTGTTGGAAGGTGCAGTTGGCAGCGTCAGTTTCCTTTTCTGTAAAATAAGGATAAATGACTGGAAGCTCGCGAGAGCGCACACCAAGCACCCGGCACTCCGCCCTGGACACAGGGGGCGCGCCTTTAAGTTTGGTTTCTTCTTGTCCCTGCTCTCCCCTCCCATCCCTCCTCTAAGTCTCCGCCCCCGCCCCCTCAGGCTCCAGGCGGAAGCAACCCTGTTCCAAATGCAGCGCGCTTTACGGCGGCGCGTCCTTTTACCGCGGTGTGGCCGCCTCGCTTGTCGCGCGCACTTTTGCCCTATTGGCTCTGCGGCCCCGCTCGCCGCACTTTACGGCAGTGTGGCTGGAGCAGCGGCTGACGGGCCCGCGGTCTGGGAGTGAGTGCAGGGAAGCGGAGTATTTGCTGGGCCGGGTACCATGGACGTGGGCGAACTTCTGAGCTACCAGGTATGAGGGGCAGGGAGGGCCGAGCGACCGCGTTCTCACCTCGGCAGGGGTCGCAGGGGCCAGAGCCCCTTCATCTCACCTCCTCTCGCCTCACTCCCGGGCCCTCTAACTTCTCATGCCACCCGGGGTCTCAGCCCTTCGTTTTCCTTTCCTCTCCGAAGCCCTCCTGGGCCCTTTCGATTCATCCCTTCTCAAGACCTGAACCCTTCATCTCCTCTTCCTCACCCTGGGACCTGGTTCCCTGAAACTCCTCTGAAACCCCGGACTATCCTTTTTTCACAACCATGTCCTCTCAGCTCTCATGTTCCCCCAGTCATTGAGGTGATGGTGGTGGCGGCGGTGGGAGCGCCTTGATCGCTCTTGGATTTGATCTCCAGCTTCTCCACTGACTGGCTGTGTGGCTCTTGGACAAGTCATTCCCCCCCTCTTTGAACGAAGTTTTTGTATCTATATGGTGGAGACACTAATAACTGCCTTAGTAGGGTTGTTTGAGGACTGTACCGTAAACTGATGTATATGAGAGCTGGGTTTAAAGTGTGGAAAGCTGTGCTTGTGTTTATTGCGATTTGGAGGAGATGTTGGGAATTCTAGCATGGAACGAGTTTCTAGGAATCTTGCTCAGGGTCCCCCTTGGCTAGGATACTTGTGGGGAAACTGTTTGGGACCTAGAGAGCAGAAAGGACTTGTCCAAAGTCACTCAGAAACAAGGAGCTGGAATTTGAGCTCAGGCGTACTGACTTCCACGCCAAAGTTTTTCCCCCGCTTTGATTCCATAGGAGGGTCATTGTGAGGGGCAGTAGAGCTGCATTGCGGAATGTGATAGCCACTAGCCACATAGGCTGTTGATTGCTTGAAATGTGACTAGTCTGAATTGAGAAGTACTGTAAGTGTAAAGTCACATTTGGCTTGGAGACTAGTATGGAAAAAGTAAAATTTTTATATTGATAACATGATCGTACTGATTATATCAATTACATTGGTTATTGGTCATATTGATTAAATGATCATATTTTGGATAATGGGTGAAATCAAATATACTTAATTTTTAAAATTTTATTTTGTTATTTAGAGACGGGATCTTGCTCTGTCGCCCAGGCTGGAGTGCCGTGGCATGATCATTGCTCACAGTAGCCCCAAACTCCTGGGTCTAAGGTATCCTCCCAAGTAGCTAGGACTGCAGGCGGGGCATCACTATGCTTGGCTGATTTTTAAATTTTTTGTAGAGCAGGGTCTTGCTATGTTGCCCAGGCTGGTCTCAAACTCCTGGCCTCAAGCAGTCTTCCCACTTGACCTCCCAAAGTGCTGGGATTACAGGTATGAGCCACCACACACCACACCCAGCCAATAAAATATGTTTAAAACCAATTTTAACTGCTCCTCTTGACATTTTAATGTGTTTACTAGAAAATTCAAAATCACATATGTAGTTCAGCTTATATTTTTGTTGGACAGCTCTGCAATCAAGAATAGGTGATTAAGAACCGTGAGTCTGGACCCCTAGGTTGCTGGCAATCTCTGTTTTGCTACTAACTGGCTGCTGTAACCTTGAACAAAATACGTAACTTCTCTGTGCGTTGGTTTCCTCATGTGTAAATGGGGGACAATGACAGTAGCTGCCTCACAGGGCTGTTGTGAAGCTGTTGAGAAATCTAAAGTGTTTAGACAATGCTTGCCAAAGAGTAAGCATTCAGTAAATATTAGCAGTTATTTTCATACCACTCCCTCAGCCAACATACAGGAAATTGACCCTGGACACTTAAGACATCATGGGAAAGAACAATTCAGCATGGGGAGCTATATAGCCAAGAGATTTTTCTTTTAAAGACAGTTTAATTGATAGTGAAAGACGAAGGGAAATAGGCAAGTTATTAAATGAGTGATTGTATGCCTGCTTGGAATTTCTAGAATGGCTAGCCCGTTAAAGCTAGAAAAGGTTCTTTCATTTGCTCAACAAATATATATTGAACACCTACTGTGTTCAAGGCAGTCTATCCGCTGAGTATATAACACTGAATAAAAGACAAGATTCTTGCCTTTGTGGAGCATCTGGTGGGAAGTTACAAGATAATAAGTAAACAAGACATTTCAGATTGTGGTGAGTGCTAGGAAGGGAATATAGCAGAGGATGCTATACAATTGCACTGCTGGGTATAGTAGCCACTAGGCACATGTGATTCTTGAACACTTAAAATGTGACTAGTTTCGAATTTAGATCTGCTACTTCTGTAAAATACACGCTGGATTTCAACGATTTAGTATGAAAATAATGTACAATATCTTTTTTTTTTGAGTTGGAGTTTTGCTCTTGTTGCCGAGGCTGCAGTACAATGGCGTGATCTCGGCCCACCACAGCCACTGCCTTCCGGGTTCAAACGATTCTCCTGCCTCAGCCTCCTGAGTAGCTGGGATTACAGGCATGCGCCACCATGCCTGGCTGATTTTGTATTTTTAGTAGAGACGGGGTTTCTCCATGTTGGTCAGGCTGGTCTTGACTCCCGACCTCAGGTGATCTGCCAGCCTCAGCCTCCCAAAGTGCTGGGATTACAGGTGTGAGCCATTGCCACTGGCCACATGAAAATAATGTACAGTATCTTAACTTTTATGCTGATTACATGTTGAATAAATAACACTTAGGATGTATTGGATTAAAGAGAATATATTATTAAAATTGGTGTTGCCTTTTTAAAAACTTTTAAAATGTGGCTACTAGAAAATGTAAAGTGGGCCAGGTGTGGTGCCTCATGCCTGTAATCCCAGCACTTTGGGAAGCCGAGGCAGGCGGGTCACCTGAGGTCGGGAGTTTGAGACCAGCCAGACCAACATGAAGAAACCCTGTCTCGCTGGCCAGGCGCGGTGGCTCACGCCTGTAATCCCAGCACTTTGGGAGGCCAAGGCAGGATCACGAGGTCAGGAGATTGAGACCATCCTGGCTAACACAGTGAAACCCCATCTCTACTAAAAATACAAAAAAATTAGCCGGGCGTGGTGGCGGGCACCTGTAGTCCCAGCCACTGGGGACACTGAGGCAGGAGAATGGCGTGAACCTGGGAGGCGGAGCTTGCAGTGAGCCGAGATCGCACCACTGCACTCCAGCCTGGGAGACAGAGTAAGACTCTGTCTCCAAAAAAAAGAAAAAGAAAAAAAGAAACCCTGTCTCTACTAAAAATATTAAAAATTAGCCGGGCGTGGTGGTGCATGCCTGTAATCCCAGCTACTTGGGAGGCTGAGGCGGGAGAATCGCTTGAACCTGGGAGGTGGGGATTGCAGTGAGCTGAGATCATCCCATTGCACTCCAGCCTGGGCAACAACACTGAAACACTGTCTCAAAAAAAAAAAAAAAAGAAAAAGAAAATGTAAAGTTAGGTGTTTTGTTTGTGGCTTTTGTTGTATTTTTATTGGACAGCACTCCAGTAGAAAATAACCCTTGGGAGTTGGGGACAGGACTTTTTACTTTATGTAATGTGTTTGAGGAAGGACACAGAGGAAAGGATATTAAAGGACTGAAGGTTGAGAGGGAGCTAGTCATGTGAAGGGAGCAGAATGATGGGGGCAGCGAGAACAGCAAATATGGACATAGGCTATTGGTAGAAGCTGGTGCAGCCTTGAAGGAGGATCGATGTAGCTGAAACATGGGAAGTGAACAGGGGAATGGTAAGTGACAAAGTTGAAGATGTAGGCATGTGACAAGACTGTGTAGGCCTTCCTTGTGGGCCATGATAAAGACCTTGACTTTTGAGAGCTACGGTAGGTAGCTTCTTTCAACCCACTTGTTCACAGATGAAAAGTGAACCTTAGTCTGATAAAGGGACTCACCTGAGGTTGTGGGCCAAGGTGGTGGCCAGAGTTGAAACTAGAATCCTGATCTCCTTATTATTATTTTTTAGTGTTTACACATCTTACCACATTTAATCTTAATGACAGTACTGAATATGTTAATATAGGAACCTTCATTTTAAAGGTGAGGGAATAGGTATAGAGAATAAAAAACATGTCCAAATTCACACAAGTGAAATGTACCTCAAGGATTCCAATCTAGGTAGCTTTGCTTCTTGATCATCAACACTTGTTTGTTGTGTTATTCCAGAAGTATTTCACTTTGTCAATCTGACCCCTTTCCCCCTCACCAAGAGCAAATATGCCTAGCGCCTGCAGGTAGATTGGGCTTGCCGCAGGCTAATTTTCCTGAACTACAAAACTTTACTTGCCTTCCTTATCCTGGATCTTGGCCTTTATGTTTACATTTTCTGAGGATTCAACCTAAGAGTTTTAAAATGCAAATATGTTGGTTGCACAATAAGGAACTACAGTAGTGGAACTCATTTAATTCAGGTTGACAATACTGAACTGAACTGGGTGACAGGGCTGAAACCTCCTAAGTCTGCTACTGGAGAGCACTTTCATCTCGCCAGTGTAGGGCAGGCATGCTCACGTCCAGCTGGCCAGCCAGGAGCGTCTCCTTCCCCATCGCAAGTTCCTCACTTTGGCTAATTGACCGGCCAGAGCCATTCGAGAGGTGAGAGGCCCACCTGTTGGGCACCAAAAACCAGCTCTGGGCCTTTGCTCAGCGAAATATCCTCAATTCAAGGCTAAGTTTCAGAACCCAAATTCAGAATTATGGTCTAAGGCTTGGAAAGCAGCACCGGTCCCAAAATCTACCTCAGGACCTTATTGAGGCCCTGGCTTCCTTATACCACCTGGCCTTATCTCAGAATCCTGGTCTCCTTATTTCCAGCTCTGTACATTCCCCTTGTGTTCTGTTCATTCAGTTTCCTTTTTGTAAGATCCATGTCCCTCTTCCTGTTCCTAAAAGATGGTGAAGTCTGGAATCTAGTTCATAGTCGGTTGCACCCATCCTCTTGCAGAAAGTCGTGAGTTTATGGATGCAAAAGTTCTTTGAGGCCAAGCGTGGTCATTCATCCCTGTAATCCCAGCACTTTGGGAGACCAAGGCAGGCGTATCGCTTGAGTCCGGGAGTTCCAGACCAGCCTGGGCAACGTGGT